AAGAAGATGACGAAGACGAAAATACCAGCTCGTTGAGCAGCTCGCCAGCTCGCCGAGCTAGGCTCATTGAACACGTGTTCAATGAGCTCTGGCTCGTTAGGCTCGTTTTTTAACGATCTGAAAAAATTACGGCTCAGATCGCTCGTTTTCTGGCGAGCCACGAGCCAGCTCGCGAGCCGGGCTCGTTTTGACACCCCTAGATAAAATGCGTACATACATCCATATAGTATGCACATCATAACAAAATTGACATAAAGATGGATGAGGGAGATTTATCACATTGCCTTTTGCCTCTTTGACTTTGTTGCAAATTCATTCCACCATTAATTTCTCCCACTCTGAAAACCCATCATGGCCGCCCACATTAGATTCCGTGTTGTAATCAAACTCATACCGTGACATATTGTTAGGCTGAAATTATGGATAATTTGGGTCCAAATCCAACCGAAATTAAGTTTGGACCGTATTTTTTTAATATTAGATATCACTAGGCGTATGCATACTCAACCGTCGCATCTTGATTCTTGACTCTACTTGGTGATTCATGTATACTCCATTTACATATTGTTATATTTGCTATTTGGTTAAATTTTTATTATATTATTTATAGAATTAAAAGCACGCATCGTCTATTTAAACTATTCTAACTATTAACAATGACAATAACTGTTTTATATTTTATTATAGTATGATAATGAGATACGCAGGGCAGTGATATTCCGATAGGAATTTCCTATTGATTAACATTGACGTACAGAGTTTAAGATTTTAGGTGCCTAAATTCAAAACCACGAGACTATATATAGTTTGAATATTATATATATATATATAAATATATCATAGTCGCCCATAGAATCTTTCCAATAGTTTTCGAATTTATTTTCATATTTGACAACTTTGAAAGATATCCAAAGTATATTAGGTTGGGGTGTGGGTCGTTTTTCCCATTGTAGGCATTATTTAGTCAATTATAGGTATTAGTGTCAATTTCTTACTGCAGGCATTAATGTAATAAAAATTCCATATACAAAACATTAAGGGTAATCATGGGTTACGAAATTGATTAAGAAGTGCTAATTAATTATAATTACCACAAAGACAAAAGGAAAAAAGAGACGTAAAGGGGCAAAAGAGAACAAAAAGTGTCATGATTAAAATACTTGATTATATTGGACGAACAAATTACAATGTTAATATAATAATCGGTTGGTGTGTGTAGGCCATCTACTAATGACTTTTTCCGTTTATTCGTACTCGAGTGTTTTGATTACAAAAGACTTTTGCAAAATCATATATATATATATATATATATATATATATATATATATATATATATATATATATATAATAGGTGGATGAACATATATATATATACCATAATTGAGCTATTTGTCCTATGATTTTGAGATTATTGGAAGTAATTAGATGGATGCCCTTAATTTTGCTTATATAGTACATCTATTATTTTTCATCACCCATGTTTGCAAGTTGAGTTATTATATCTAAAATTTTCAAAATGCTAAATTTTATAATGCATTTGTCTATCATTTCACGATTTTATAAATTACATACAAGACAAACGTCTCAAACACTAAATTCTCGGTTTCGAATTGTAAGAACTATATATGAAGTTTATATATATACCTCGTTTGCAAATCTTAATAACAAGTCTACTTATGAAGTATCTTTCTCATAAACATACTAATAAAGCTATATATCATATTTCACTTTCCAATTAATATTTTTTCGCCAATAACATGAAAAAGTGCAAAACAGAGTTCGATTCATTTATCTAAAAATACAAAAAGATGAAATTAACATAACCCTTTTCCATGAAATTCAAGTAAAAACACAAGGCATAAGGAGAACACAAAAAAAAAAAAAACAGAAGGCTACTAGATTTCATTTCCATTTGTTTGGTATAAAACCATTAGTATTATATTCCCTAAATATATTGAGATTAACAAAGCAAACTCATAGATACTTCATGACTTCGACTTCTTATTTCAAGATGCGCATGGGACCAAGCATGACAAGAGTCCCGGCATTCTCTTCTGCATCACCAAAATCAATATTATAACTCGGATAATTAATTTAACTTTATAACAAAATAATACAACCTATGATATATATATATATATTATATTGTAGTTGAGATGGACCTACCCTCTTGGAAGAATGGAGGAGCTCGGGAGGGATCTTGTAGAGATCTTCGTCGACGGGCTTGGGCCTCGAAGGCCGCACTACCGCGTCGTTTTGGTAATGCTTGGCCTCGCTGCCGTATGCGTATTGCTTTCCTGCATGTCCGCTGACGTCACGCACACGCCTTTGTTGTTGTGGGCCCCTTTTCTCCTTCGTTGCCCCCGCCGCCACCGTCTTCTGCACCGGCAAAACATTCGGGAAACGTATTTTAATATATATATATATATATATATACTTGTCTCCATCAGATGCATGTGAAGATCCGTACCTGTCTGGAAGGAGGAAGAGTCCGTGGACGGCCATGGGAGTAGTAAGAAGAAGCTTTTAGGGCTTCTGCAGAAGAGGAAGAAGATGACGAAGACGAAGTGTGGATGTGAGCGGTGTTATCACGGAGGAGACCAGCTTGTCTTGCGTTCTCGAAGTATTGAGTGATGGGCATTTCGTTGGCATCTTCCCACTCTCCAAACCTCGGAATCTGTCCGCTCTTCTTGCCGTAATAATCATATTTCCCCTGCCAACACATATTACAACACGTGAATTTAGATACGTGTATTTTGGTTGGTTTTATTATAAACGGCCCGACGGATCTACCGAGGATAAGTTATTTATAGCTACAAGACGATGATTGAAAAAACATAAAAAGTTCGAAACTTTTTGACTTTAAAATTTAAGACCCATAAATGCCGAGAATTGGCTAAACCATGTAACCAAACAGTCAAAAGAACCTTTCCAGATTCCACCGAAAAGAGTAACAACAAAGGACGAACACACAACCAAGAGTCAAGAAAGAACAAGAACACAAGTGTTTGGTGAGGAAAAGGGTGAGTTGGGGGCAGGTCGCAGATCTGAAAAAAAATGGGGAAGGTGAAACGGGAAGAGGCATGGAGGAACATGAATATCAAGAAAACAAAAACCAAACACAAAGGATCCAAGAAGGCTATACTTACATGATACATGATGATGATGATGATGATGATGATGATGATGATGATGATGATGGTGATGATGATCTCTCTCTTTCTCTCTTTCTCTCTAGTGGGCAGCAAGCGAGACACAAAGAAATGGCTGCAAGAGAGCTCACTGTCTTTTTATAACAAGGGTTTAATCTGTCCAGCCAGACAAGAAATCGACTTTCCAATTGAATTGAATGGATTCTGGAGAGAGAGAGAGAGAGAGAGAGAGAGAGAGAGATTCGGGGGAGTTTCAGTTTCAGACTTGAGCAGTATAGCTATTACCTATGAGGAAAAAAAAGCAAGGAAAAAGAACTACTAATATATATAATATAATGTATGTATATATACACACACACAATATCGGATGCGGATAAGAATTCTACCTAATTAAAAAACCGATTGTATAACTTTTTGTAGAAAATAATCTTGAATATAAATTAAATTTAAATAGATTTCCAATTAAACGTATATAAAATTTAAATGGATACAGTTTTTAGAAATATGAAAATCTGAACTAAAAAACAAGAACAGCGCAAAAATAACATTTTAGAAACAATCCCACCTTACATAAGGTAAATGTTCTGGAATTTATACAGTAGAAGAAGAGAGCGATCCATTTAATTAATGGCGTATCAGATTATGTACACGCATAAAAAAAATAAAATTGAATAATCATTTATTGCAATTCAATGTTATGATGGGAATATAAATAAATGATGAGGCAATGAAAGAGTATAGTCTAAGGTAGGGAAATGAAAAACAACATTCAAACAAAGGGACGGACGCGGCTCCGTTTTCCCCTCACCGATTTGTCAAACATTGTCAGATTTTCATTTACTCTTTTCAATGCTCCCGTGCCTTGTTGACAAAGACATGATCACTTATATAGTTATATATATATGTATTGCTGTTATTGTTATGATTATTGAATAATATTGTCGGTCCATGTCACACGGCGCATTACAAAACAAAGGCTGAGCATGCACATCCGCATATGAAAAGCTGTATTTTTTAATTTTATTTTAAAACTTTTATATTTTGTCACGGCAATGTGAACATTACAAGAAGCATTTAAACGGGGGTTTTTGCAAAAATGACCTTAAATGTCATTTTTACTTCAAGGGTGACCTTGGATTTTTTATAATTCCAATTCTATCCTTGAATATAATAATTGGTTTTATTATTATTTTATTCAGGAGATTTTAATTCGTTTTCGAAAAAGCTTAGTATTTCTTTCATTCGGGTTAATGTTTCTTCCAAAAATGGGAGCCAATCCCCATTATAATTATCTTTTGATGAATGCTTTCTAAAATATTCAATTTTTATTTCTTTTATTGTAATTAATTTATTTAATTCTGTGATTGTATTGTTAATTTGTTCTTTTTCTATTGTTTTCTGTATGCCTCTTAGTTTACTTTCTATTTCGAAACGTTGTACTGGTTCGTTTAATAATTCGATATTTTTCTTGTATATTTTATCCATTTTATTCGTCAGAATCTATAATATCTCGTATAATTTCTCTTACTGCATTAAATATTGCACTAATCATTTTTATTCTTCGATTTTCTTCATTTAGTTCATTTCGTTCAATTGTTCCATAAGTTCGTTCTCGAAATATACTTTCTATGGTTTCAACTAATAATTGTTCAAGATGATCTAGACATGGTAAACTTTCAAGATTTAATAGGGATAATTTTTCGATAAAATCTTCGTTAAAATTCATCTGGTGAGTCTGTTGATTTGTGTTATTGTTTTTCTCAATTGAGAATAATCTTTTTCAGTATTTTCTTCTATTTGTTCCGTATTAAATAATAAAGATGGTGATTCTTGTATTTTTAGTCTTGGATTCGGTCGTAATATCGATTTATCTTTTGGTTCTGTTGGTATTAATGGTCTTTTTAAACATATTACTGGTTTAAATAAATCATCTATTTCGATTATATCTTTGTTTCTGAAATTCAGACTATGATGACTATTTGTTAATGCATAGTTGATCTGATATGTTATAGAGAAAGAATGATTCCCTTTTTCCATAAAATCTGTTCGATCTAGTTTATATTGAATAACTATAGAGTTATCCAGATTTTTATCTCTTAATGATAATCCTAATTGGATGTTGATATTGAATTTAATTTTTCCAGAGGAAAGATTTCCTTTTCCTTCTGCTATAATACTTTCAGTATAGTTTGTTAATCTATCATCTCTGATCTGGAAGGTAATCGGTGAATCGATTCCTTCTTTAAATGTTGATTTGATAATTATTTGAATAGTACTACAGTGTATGTAGGCTATTTGGTTTCTTTGTTTTTCTGGGCAGTTTTTCAACTGTTCCAGAATTTGTTCTTTGTTGATAATCGGTAAGATTAGTTCTCCTGTAGTTTGTTCGATTGGTACTGGTGTTTCTCCCACCATAATCCCAAACTTTATTATGTTCTTTCGTGATAGTTGCTTCTTTATTCTTTCTAACATAGTTTGTTCAAAATTTTCATCTTTCTGAAGATCAAAGTTGATCTTTCTTATCTTGTTTATATCTATTATTCCATCAAAGAAATAATCTTCATCTGATTGTATAAAATTATCAAATAAAGAGGTTGATGCCATACCTGATTCGTTTGTGTAGATAATAATCCCTGTTGGTAGGTGTTGGTGATGATCGTTTTCTTGTTGGTGATCCGGAGATCTGATCGGTTTTTTCCAGAGTTCTGGAATAATATGATGGTTTGAAATATTCTGATCAAAAGGCCTCCAGAAGATCGAAATCTTCAAGCCAATCTCTTAAAGAGATTTTTCAGAGAGAGTTCTGAAACAGATTCGTTTATTTCACTCTGATTTCTCCGAATGGAGAGATCACATATTTATACAACTTTGGAACCCTTATCAGCTAAGCATGGAATCTTATGCTGGGGCCCGACTCTTACACGCGTCCTTACATAATTACACACGATAGATTACAGTGATAAGGTTGTTGATAGCCTTATCTTTTATTGGGGCCTATTGCCGACAATATTATTCTACATGGTCACTAGTCCTTATCAACTTTTATCACGCGTCTGCCGACTCTTCTGATGGTGGTTGGCTGCTCCTTTTCATCTTGTCCTTTAGTTCTTTGCAGATAGTGCATTTGTGATCATCATATCTCATCAGGAAGCTGCAGAGCTGTTCCTTGATGGATTCTTCTAATCCTGCGAATTTTCCTTCTAAGTGATAGAAGTCTAATTCGAAATCTGCTACTGCTTGCATTTCTTCCTTTGAAATAGTCGAGTTGTTGTAGGTGATGACTAATACATTACTGCTGGCGTAATTGACTTTGATTTCTGAATCCGCAAGGATTCTTCTTGATGCCTTGAATACTTCTAATAATGAGTGAGCTTCCAGGTCATCTGGAATCTCATATTCTGATGCATCGTCTCTTGAAGGCAAATCTCCTTTTGCCACTCCAAGGTGTATTACAGCCTGAGACTGTATGATCTTGTCCTTTCCGAAGATCGGGATTGAACTTTTAATCTTCATGAAGATAGTTCTTTCCTTCGCGAATCGTTCGAAATAATTCCTGATAATCGGTTTCATTCTTCTTGGGAATTCTTCAAATATTTTCATCGAATCAGTATAAATACTGTCGACTAATCCATGTTGAAGATAATCAAAAGCTAGTAATGGGTTAGCTTCTCCGATGAAGATAGCTTTTGGTCCAGTTCTGGTCATTTTTGGGTAGAAACCCATGGTGGTGTGTTTTTCCTTATAGTCTACTAGGGATGCCCAGTAGGACTGGTATTTCTCGAGGGTGACCTTTTTCATGGCCTCCTTTTCTTGTGTGGTTGGTATTTGGGCTATTCTGGGTATTTTCATTGATGGTAGTTGGGCTTTTGGTTCGGCTGGTTGTTTTTGGGCCATAGTCTTGTATGATTCGTTTAAGGCTTTTTGGGCCTCTTCTTTGGTCTGGAAAGTTTGGTGTGATACCTTCTTTCCGTTGGTATGTTGCGAAAAGATCGCGTAGTCTACGTATACTCCTCTGAATGGTCCACTAAAGATAGCGTACCATTTGTTTGGTTTTTCTTCTACCTTGATGTCGGTAGGAAGTGTAACCTGATCTAATCCTTTTGTTGTCTGTTCTTGCTTTTGGTCTTCTTCTACTGGTGTTCCACCAGTGGCTTTTATGATGATGTTCAAGGATTTAATCAACTCCTCCCTCTCCTCAAAGAGTTTTGAGAGATTTTCCTGAATAGTCTTGATCTGGTTGTCTTTTTGACTGATCTGATTCTGAATTGCTTTGATTATTCCTTCCATTCTCTTGTTAGAGTGTCTGCAAAACAATTGTTTGCCGACTTAATATATTTAATATATGGTTCATATTGATGCAGTTCTAGTTGCCATCTGATTAATCGTCCTTTTTGGAATTCTGGTTGTATTTTATACCTCCAGAACCCTGTTACATATTGTGAATCAGTTCGTAATTCGAACCGAGTTTGTAGGAGATCAATTTTCCATTTCTTCAAGGTTCGAAGACACGCAAGTGTTTCGAGCTCGTGAATTGGATAATTCATCTCTGTTCGTGAGAATGTTCCTGAGATATATTTGCATAATATCGTTTTTTGTTTCTCAGTTTTTGGTACTTCATTATTATTAGTACGACCGTATTGGTCAAGATGAAATAATTCTTTTCCATCCTTTATTGCTAACATGCATCCTGCCCAAACTTCTTTGGATGCATCTGTTTCAATAATCAAGAAATCTTTAATCGTGGGATTGTATAATCGTGGTAATACCTTGATGTTTTCTTTTATATGTTTTACCAAGTTTGTATCCTGGTTAGACCAAGACCATGGTGTTTTATCTGATATCTTTTTCTGTAATTGTTTTCGTTCTTTTGCTGGGGATTTTAAAAATCCTTGTTCAGAAACATAATTCAGGCACCCAAGGAACCTTTGAATTTGTTTTCTGTCTGATAATTCGTTGGGAAATTGTTGTATTTTTTCATGTACATTACTTGTTAGTTCAATTTCTCCATTGTTATTTATTTTTAATCCAAGATATTCAATTTCTTGTTGTACTAATTTTGATTTCTTTTTAGAGATAATTAATCCTTTTTCTTTACATCGTTCTAGAACAATGATTAATTTTTCAGTGTGTTCTGATTGTGTTCCATTTGTAAATATTATTATATCATCAATGTAAGCTAAGCAATATTCTTCTAATCCATGGAGATTTCTATCCATGAATTGTTGGTATATTGCTGGTGCTTGCTTTAATCCGAATGGAAGAACATTCCATTCATAATGTTTTTGTGGAGGGCATGAAAATGCC